CCTACTAGTTCCTTGAATTGCCCCCACCAATGGCAACTACTTTCTGACACTATTGTGTCAATCCATACCACTTCCTTCCTCCCTCCCCCAGTAAATTAATTTCCATATGATTGTAGCTAGTTACAGCTATGTGTTTAAATATGTTATTAGTTTTGTTTTTGTCCAACATATGTATCTATTCTATACACAATTGCCCAAACAAAATTGTTTTTACATTGGTATCCTCAATATTGTCTAAATAAATTTCATAGTAAAATTACAAATCTCCCCTCCTCATAACACATATTCTTTTGAATACAGAATCAGAGACTTGGATGTATGATCCCTGGGTTCTTCATCAGTAAAATGGAGGGAATCATAGCACCTAAGATTAAATAAAATAACATTTGTAAAACACTTTGCAAACCCTTAAAGGTCCTTATAAATATGAGCTATTATTATTACTCACTGACCATTTACAGCATTGCTCTAATTCTACCAAAAATCCATTGGTGTTATGGGACCAGTTAATGAACTGAAATGAGAGTAGCACTTAGTCGGGAATAAACTTGTATGTATAAGAATTCAATAGGCATCTCAGCCTGCTTAGGAGAGAAAACTGGTGTTTCACATAAAGTTAAACTACTAATTTAAAAAATTACATTCTTTTCTATTCATGAAAGGAGATCCCAAAGACCTCTCTCTACTTGCTAGCATGAACCCAGTCTACTTCATATTACTCTCTACAATATAAACAATAAAATGTACTTTAATAAAAACAATATTTGGAAAATAAATAATTACATTTTCTCTACCAAAGGTTTAGCACTGTACCTAGTATGCAACAAACATTTAATGTCTGTTGAATTTAACTGAAGAGAAATCTTTGGCTCTACTCAACAACCCATTGCAGAGATTTTTTTTGTCATATTCTCCATAGAGCCCAAAGTAACTCAAATCCTTTTCCCTCTCAATCTGTCCTCAGTAGAAATGGTCACCATGCTCTTAATACCAAACTGTTTGAGGAATAGCATTATATCATCTTCCCAGCTGTCTCTTCTCCAGTCTAAATAATTATGGTTCCTTTAGTCTAAGTTCACGACATCTATGTTTGCAAAGTGGACTGCCTTATTTTTGACCCCTATGGCCTCTGTCCAAAGGACACAACATCTTTTTTTAAATTACAGGACACAAATTGGACTTGCATCATTTCAAGATTCCCAGATGTGACTCCAACTGTTTTAGTATTAAGTGATAGAAATTAGGATAATAGAACCTAAGACCTCTGAAATATTCAAAACTAAGTCTCATCATCAAAATGTTAAAAAGTATCAGAGATTTAAAAAAATGTAGCATAGTTTGTACTTGGAAAGGTTCTTGCCTACTTGGTTGACAAAGTTCATTAGCTCAAAAAAAAAGTTACTCTCCTACACAAAGCCTCCTCATTTTCAACCTTTTCTAGTAAAATTTTTTATTTGTTAATTTTAAATAATAAATTAATTAATTATTTTGATTTGTTCCTCTCCAAAATAAAGCCTGAATTACTTATAATTACACTAACAAAAAAGGTGTCTTTTAGGCTTTTCTTTGCATTTTAGCCACTATCTACCATACCTATTTCCCAATATTATTCTAAGTCACACTTCTAGCATATCCATACAGGGTCATAAAAATACTATCCAAAAGTCTCGTTAAGGAGTGAGAAAAAAAGTCCTTTTAGAGTTTTACACAACACACCTAGGCTTAAGTCCAGACACATGTTCCACCTAAATGAAACTTTAACCCTGAATTTCTAATAGCAGGGTGATCTTTTGATTTATAGCTCTCAAAGTGATAAATTTGCTTTTGACTAGACACTTTTATATTACTGCTTCCTCCACGAACCACAGTTTCACCAATCTGAAATAAAATATTCAGTAACTTCAAGCATCTGGTTTGCTTAACTGTGCAAAATGTGATTAAGTGGTGCCTTGTACATAATAGGTGCCACTAAATACTTTAGATGAATAAAACATAAATCGTGTCATAAACTAGCTTATCAAACTATTCGTTTATACCCTCAGATAAATTCTTTGCTTTAGACAGATAATCTTAAACAGATAATTTTTCACTTTGACCAGGGCTCTAATTACAGAAAAGATAAAAATCTTGACAACATGTATATTACTCCAGAACAAATCACCAGTGTTGTCCAGGAAAGATAACAAACATCTAGCCAAGCATTGGTTTTCCTGAAGAAGGAAAAAAAAAAGTGGTCCACACAACATAAAAAAGCTTTGAAAGTTCAACCTGACAAAACAAATATGGTACTAGTAGGCAAGACTTGGAAAGCAATCACAAAAAGTCTCATTTAAATTCCTGGAAAGCACAGCTTCTCTAAACATCTATTCAGCTCTCTTTAGCAGGCAAGTCCTACCGAAAACACAATTTTAGCTTCGCTTAGTCCTCCTGCACTCCTCAGACCAAGTTATATACATGTATACCACATCATAAAGAACATTCAACATTCTAGAGAGTTGAAAAGGCATCAAAATACCAACGTTGTAAAAGGTGGGAAACCTTTCCATAAAAAGTAGCGGTGTTTGTGCCACTGCAAGAGAAGTAACGCCCGGGCAGCTTTGACTCTGAGGTGTTTCTACCTGGCAGCATTAGAGCCGGAGAACTGGAAAATAATCAGAGTGCATTTAAAGCCCAAACTGATGTCTCGGCGCCGTGAGAAAAAGGCGAGAAAAGGGCAATCAAGAGCGACTGTTTCTTTTAAAAGCCATAGATTTAAAAAAAAAAAAAAAGGAAAAGCTTCCTTTTACAGTTTCAAAGATGCAGCCTTGTCGTGTTGCACCAGGTTTCACATGCCAGAGCTTGCGGATACCTCTTCCCTCATCAACACCCCCCCACACACACACACACACTCATTCTAAGAATTCGGAACATACAAGGCTCTCTTTCTCTCTCTGTAGCTCAGCGCTGTGTCCTCACCGCACACCGGCACTCTTGTACCAAGAAGAAAGACATCGCCCGCCTCCGCGCCCCTGCCACTTTCCCCTCTTAACCAACCCTCTCTCAAACGCCTCTTCAAAATACTCTGGATACCTCAGCGCTCCGGCTGAGGAAGGCTGGAGAGAGGAGTGTGCCACATTTTTATTCCCAAGCAGTTTCACGGGCGCGCGCACACAAGGACGGACACACACACACACACACACACACACACACACACACACACACACACACACACTCGAGTCACGCTGTACAGGAGAATGTCTAGATAGGTATACTATCCATGCAATGTCAGGAGCTGGATGCAAACTGGCGAGCACACATATGGTTAGGTAGATTCGACTCTTCCCCAGCTGATAGAACCAGCCCTTCCATCCCGCTGCCCCAAACCCTGCCTGCAATGCTTCGCTTGTCTCACTTCAGTAAACCCGATGCTAACCTGGAGAGTAGGGTTGGGTGCTGGGTCATCAGGTTAGGCTCAAGGATTACCTAAGAGCAGGACCCGCAGCGGGAGCGGGAGCAGGAGCAAGGCTCCCTCGGGGCGTTAAAGATCGGGGGAGCTGGGGAGCTGCCGCTTTTGGTTTGGCTGCTTCTGGGGCCGCCTTTGATGCAGGGAGGGTGTTTGTCTGGGCGAAAGCGAGATTCGCGGTGGCTGCCGTGGGGCAGACATGCTGAGGCTGCCGGGGCTGCAGCCTGCGAGGTGGCCGCCGTTCCTGCTCCGGCTGCTGCTGCTGCGGCTAGTTCTTCCCCCTTCGCGGTTCTCCCTTCTCCTGGACTGCTGCCTTGGCCGCCGCCGCCGCCGCCGCTGCCACTGCTAGGTGCTCCGGCCGTCGGCGCTAGTCAGTGCTCGCTCTGGAAATGAAGGGAGGGAGTGTGCCGAGGGAGGCGGGGAGGGGAGCTGCGCTTAGCTCCGCGCCTCCCGCGCTACCGGCCTCATTGTTCTGGGAAGCTCAACAGCAGCAGCAGCTACTACGTCGGCGCCGGCGCGGGGCTGCGAGAGGGACTAGCGGACTACCCGAGACCTTGCGAAAAAGAGGCGGGCTCCCGGGTACCAGCTCCACTACTTAGGTTCGCAGTCACCACTCCGGCTAGGAGCCGCAGGCTTCCCAGTTCTGCTCGCCGGGGCGCCTGCCCCTCCCGAAGCTAACGCTTATGCCCTTGTTCTCTCTCTGCACTCCTCCGCCCTTCCCCCACCTCCCACCTCGGACCTTCCCAGCCTGGTCCTTTCCTCTGGTGCCACCTAATAGCAGCCAGGCTCCTGGAAAGCTAAAGAAGGTTACAGGACAAAGCCCAGCGCACTCAGCATACTAGCGCGCCCCTCCTCCCCTCGTACCCCACTTCTGAAAGCGCACAGCCCAGACTTGGCTTTTGCTCTCAAGCTTTCGGCTTTCTAAGCGACGCCTCTTACTAAGTGTGTGTGTGTGTGTGTGTGTGTGTGTGTGTGTGTGTGTGTGTGAGTGTGTGTGAGATCGAGAGAGAGCGCGCACAAAGGCGCAAGAGATAAATATTAACATTAACACACGGGCAACTAGAAATGTGTGTTTACATACAGAAGGTAGACATGTGCACGCGCACCAGGTGCCAGGTGTGTGTGTGTGTGTCTGTGTGTGTACACTCACACGTGTTTCGCTGAATATTTGCCATACGTGTATCTGCTGGTGCACCCGAAAAGACTGAAAAGGGAAGGCTGAGTGCGTGGAGGGGTGGGAGTGAAGGGACGAAGAGGGAGGATCATGTCTCCTAGTAGCACCAGTTCATTCCTTTGTTCCTCTTTCTGTGGGCTCCGAAACTGCTTTCTCTTTCTCTCCTCCCTCGAGACACTCAAAAAGGCAGTAGCTTTCCCTTCCCCTCCACCCAGGGAAAGGAGGGGAGATAGGAGAATCTTTGCGCACAGAAATCACCACCCCTCAACGCACCAGCTCCTAGAGTGCAAACAGAAGAAATCGAAAAAATTGTAGAGTTGACTAACCCCCTACAGAATGGGCTCAAAACTCCAACAATCTGCCTCACCACCTCTCTCTTCTTACCATGTACTCTAACCGGGAAGCAGGACAGGGACGTACGCAGAAGAAATTATTCTGCTTTATCTGGAAAGGACACACCAGGTTTTGAGGACGACACCCAGCTAAGTTCCTTGGTGGTTGGTGGCCTAATTTTGCTTCGGTAATAGTATACTTGACAATTGAGGTGTGGCGGGAACTTAGGTAAGAACGGCACTGGGTATGAGTCTGCTAATGCAGAGAATGTCCATTTGTCTGCGCCGTCTTATCCCTTCCCCTAAAAATCTGCCCGAGTTACTGGAACCTTAACAGCTGGTCTTCCCGGACAGAAAGTGCTGCCTTGCCTTTTGTCTGGCCGTCTTCTCCACACTCATTTTCTCCACATTTATTTCATGCCACACAAAATTCCTTCCAGTTCTCTCAGTTCCTTGGAGGGTAAACTCTGATTCCCCTTCTTCACTCCACAACGTGGGAGAATCCTCTAGGGCAAAGATATACCTCTCCCAGGCAACTTTAGTTTCGGAGCACAGGGTGCCAAAACAGGCAAAGCATCCGTAGGTATGCCAAGTGGCCGCAAGGTGGGGGAATTTTTGGTCTGATGCTATTACTAGACATTGTTTTACCTCTCAGATAAGTGGAGACAAGATATCTAAGACAAGAGAAGAGGGCTGGCGCAGTGCCTTTTAAAACCATGCTAAACTTAGTACCTGCTTTCTTTTGGAATATTTGTTATATCTTTTTAGAGGAAGGAAGTTAAGCCTGTGTCCCTAACTCAGAAACATTAGGCAACAAAAAGGATAGAACAAAATGGTTAAATCCCACTTTGAAGGTAACCTGATAAGCAGATACTTCAATGTTTTCCAACTATGATAGTATGAATTTTAATGTATTAGAAAGGTAGTAAAACTAATAAGAAATGTGATAATGGTTTAAGAGAAATAAAGAGATAATGGTTTAAGGGAAAACCTCAAAGTATTTAAAAGTACTCTGCTAATAGCAAAGTAATGCTTACTTCAACCTCAAAAAGTAAAGTACTATACTAGTGTACAAGGTCTTGCCTCAGAGGTCTGATTATTATACAAAGGTGCTATATAAGGTTCATGGACTTGACTGCCCTTAAAGAGTCCAAGGAGGAAAAAGTATGTAAATTGGGATAGGAATATAGAGATAAAATGTTACTTAGGGCAAGTGTATGACTGACATTTTAAGAATTAAATAAAGATAATTTATTTTGGTTGGGATGGGAGTAGAGGTTGATACTTTAATCTATTTAAGAACAAAGTTATTTCTTGTAAGAGAAGTTAATATCTACCTCTGTGTCTTTGCCCTCACAATTCTTTTTGCTGGGGAAAAAAAAAGCTCAAATCTATGTAGTTTTTAGACTTGCAAATGCATGAACTCTTTTGATCCTCACAACAACTTCATTGATACATTTTACAGATTTGGGAACTGAGGATCAGAAAGATACAGTGACTTACCCAGGTTCACACAGCTAATTCTAATACTCTGTGTTTCTCCCTTTGTGGTTCAGTCATGTCTGACTTTTCATGACCTTATTTGGGATTTTCTTGGCAAAGATACTGGAGTGGTTTGCCCTTTTCTTCTCCAGCCCATTTTACAGAAAAAGAAGTGAGTTGACCAGGATCACACAGCTAGTAAATGTCTCAGGCTGGCTTTGAACTCAGGAAAATGAGTCTTTCTGACTCTAGGCCCAGCACTCTATTCACTGTGCCACCTAGCTGCCCAAGAAGTAGACAGGTGTTATCAACCACTAGATGTCAACATTTGGCAACCCACAGGCTATGAGGAGGTGGGATGAGTAAGAGCAGGATGTTGAGTATGACTCCAAGCTCACAAACCTAGTTGGTTGGTGCCTGCAAGAAATACAATAGCCTTTCTTTGGTATTGGCTGTTGTCCTTTATTCTCAAAGAGAACCAAAATGACATTGCTATATTGGAGTCAAGGTACAGTGTGTCCTACTCTGGCTGATCAGACCAACCATGAGCTTGGAAGGCTCTACCACACATATGGCACAAATGTGAACATCTGGAGTGGAGATGTTTCTAAATTAGCACATCTCATGCTTCTTTTGAGCTGCTGAAATTCTGCTCTGTTCATAGAGCACAGCACCTTCTTTGGCCAGGCAGTCCTGTGCCAGTGTCTCCCATGTCTCACAATTGATTCCAAAGTTCTTCAGAGAGACCTTGAGAGTGTCCTTGTATCATTTCTTCTGACCTCCTTGTAGGTGCTTGCCTTGTGTGAGTTCTCTGCAAAACAGTCTTTTAGGCAAATGTACTTTTAGCATTTGGACAACACGGCCAGCCCACTGGAGTTGCACTCTCTGCAACAGAGTTTGGATAAGTGGCAGTTCAACTAGAGAAAGGACCTCAATGTTCAATAACTTATCTTACCTGGTGATCTTCAGAATCTTCCCAAAACGAGTCAAATGGGAGCAATTAAGTTTCCTGGCATGGCACTGGTAGACTGTCCAGATTTCATAGACATACAAGATTGAGGTCAGCACAATGGTTCTGTTGACCTTCAGTTTGGTAAGCAGTGTAATACCTCTTCTCTCCCACACTTTCTTCTGGAGCCTCCCAAACACAGAGCTAGTTCTAGCAATGAGTGTGTCAAACCTCATCACCATGTATACATCCCTGGAAAGTAAGTGAACTTATCCATAGCATTCAAAATTTCTCCACTGGCTGTAACTCATGGTTTCATGTATGGATGGTATGGTGCTGGCTGGTTGATAACCTCTATTTTCTTGGTGCTAATTGTTAGGCCAAAATTAGAACAAGAGTCAGAGAATGGAACCAATTGCATCTCAACCTCAGAGGCAATATTGAGTGCACAATAATTTGCAATTAAAAAGGCCTGCACCAACTCTCCCTCTACTTTAGTCTTGGCTTGTAACCTTGTAACTTATAACCAAGTTAAATAATTTACCATCTGTGTGGTAGCTGACTTTGATATAATTTTTGTCCTTGTTCAAGGTGTCAGACAACATAGCTGAAAACTCCCCTACTGGCTGAATGAAGGAGTCTCAGAGAAGCTCAAAAATCCCTAATAAGAAAGCTGAGTATATCCTATAAGAGCAAGACCAGCCATAATAGCCCAAAACCTCTTTTCCTGCTTTGTGGGGAGACAGAATATCAACTAGCCTCTCATTCCCCAGGAAGCTTTCCTTCCCAGCTCTCTACCCTGCCTCCTGCTCACATGAATCAACATAATTCCCTAGAGCTCTTAGATTCCCTGCCCTAATACCTGGTCTCTCCAGATCCACATAAAAACTATTGAAAAAAAATCACCAGACTTTGCTGGTTTGGAAGATGTCTCATTTCCTCTGGGCCAGTGGCCGAGTTGGGTGCCAAATTCCACCTGGTTTCTAAAGGTTTCAATCATTCTCCTTGCCTGCCTTTCACTTGCTGAATATTCTCCCCTCAATAAAGCCGGCTTGCACTACTGCCTTGTGAGTTCCAAATTTCTTTGTAGGAGACTGGTCCATGTTAAGACTGTGCCCATGACAGAAATAGGAAATTATGAAGAAACATCAGTTGGAAAGGAAAGATAATATGTTCTTTTGGACACTAACAGACTGTTTTGAACACATTGAGTTTGGAATTTCTTCCTTGGGTAATTATCAACTTACATTCTGTAGTTATCCATATAATGCTTTATCTTTCTTTTTTTTTTTTTTTGAAGTATTGGGCTCAAGAATCTGGAGAGACCTTAGTTCAAATCTTGTCTCACTAGATATGTGACCCCGGACAGGGTACTTAACCTACCAGCCTCAGTTTTCTCATCTGTAAAATGAGGATAATAACACCTACTTCACAAGTTTGTTATGAGAATAAAATAAGACAACATGTCCATCTTTTGGCAAACTTTAAAGTTCCATATAAATACCAGCTATGATCATTATTTCTAGCAGATGAATTAGTATCCTATTATTTTGAAACCCAGAAATGCATTCAATATATTCTTTCACGATCTTCCCTCCTATGCTCATTTTTTATGGTTAGTTTGCCAGCACAGTGTACCTCTAGTTTCTTTAAGGTTGAAAATGTCATTAGAAACAATGTAAAAGGAGCACCGGAAATATTCTTCAGACCCCGACACACACTTGACCACTCCATATACCTTGATTTTCCTGTTTGTCATCCTGCTCAAAACTTGGTTGTGGTCAGACTGACTGTCCAGCGTTTGGTTTGAATGTAAACTCAAGACTGACTTATCAGCTACATCCACCTTCTCTGGTGTTTATGACATCTGGCTTCCAATGCTCTAGGGTATGATTCTCCAAACTCCTATCACTAGAGGTTTATAATTAAATAATATGCATTTAACAACAATAAGATAATCTACATATACCAAAAAGAGAAAGAGTTCCAGTCCCTCAGAGAAATTACTTAGAGAAGTTATTTTCACAGAGTAACCTTTTGAATATGCCTATCAGGTGTTTTTTCTGAAGAATGTATTGCCTAAAGTGAATAGACTTGACTTCTAGTTTAGCTAGGAATTTTATTTTGTACTGTTGATATGCAGGGATATTGTCTTCCCTAACTTTTAAGAGTTTATTGAGTGAATACCATCACTTATAGGTACTTAGCTTCTCTGCGCTTGTTTAATTAATGCATTGAATGTGCAATTTGGGAAATTATAGTAAAGAGGTATATTCTGGATTTCTACCTGTTCAGAATATTTTTACTACAGTATTCAGACTAGATAGAAGCATTTTTTATCTGTTTTACTAATTTCTTTTTTTTTCCCTTTTGAGTAATTAGACTCTGAGCCTGAGATGACTCACAGACCTTAGTTCAAATCCTGCCTCAAATACTAGTTGTGTTACCCTGGCTAAGTTTCTTAACCCCACATGTAGCTTCAATTTTCTCATCTGTAAGATTAGAATAATAATAGCACCTATTCATAGGGTTGTTATATCTAGTCAATCCTTTGAATAGTTTTCTCTACAAAGATTTTGTTTTCCTGCTCTTTAAAACTTCCATTTTGAAAACACTATTAGAGTGATGAAAGACAAAGCCTTAGTGGCATGAATAATTGAAGAGATTAATTTGCTGGACTTGAATAATTTTTTTTCTGAGTCACATTTCCAACACAATTTCCCAGGAAGAAAGGAAAAAAAAATGCTAATCAGATAATCTTAAATTGTTATAGTTATCCAACCTAGAAGACTTTCACCCTCTCCTCCTCCAAAATGTCACCTTGAATTGGACTATAATTGATAATACAAAAGCTATACTTTGCATGCCTTGATTCCCAGAGAACATCTTGAGAAATAGAGAAATTAAATTGATTTGATGTGAGGACCTTCAGCTTTGATACAACTTTCATTGAGCAGGCTCATTTTTCTAGAGAAGAGAAAATTTTCTAGATGTGACAATGCACAAAGAACAGGAACTATGTCCTGAGCAACATGCTAAGTAGGGAAAAAATAGATTAAATGTTTTTGTAAATCTTTAAAAAAAACCCCACCACTTATTGTTTCTAATCACTCAAGAGTTTGATCTGACTCTCCATATAGGAAAAAAAAATAGATGAAGAATGTCTACTGTCTAGCCTGAGGTATGAAATGGGATGAGAAACCATGAATGCATCCACTATATTCTAGACAAGCATTGTAAATGGAGAATTAGTTGAATCTAGACCTGAACAAGAAGAGAACAGTGGAATGGATTTCTTTGAGAAATGCTATAGCCTTTTAAAAAAATCTAAGCTTCTCCTGGAAATAAGAATACATCTTTTGAAGAATGGCGTTCTTTGGTAATTCTGTATAACTAGGATTTATGAAATATCATAGTTTATAGGTGATGCAAAGGACAATGGATAGGCACATAGTGTATTATAACATGTCAAGAAAAACATTAGAGGATATGTAGCAAAGATCAACAAAAACCCATTTCTGGAAGAAAAAAAATATGATGGTCACATAGCAAGAGCAAACAATAAGTGATGGACAGTCCATGTATACCATGGACATTGAAAAAATGTCAAGATATTTAGAAGCAAACCCCTAGCAAATTGGGTGGATCCCTTGGAAAGCATTTATGAGAGGTCTTATGCTTTTAAACTTTATGATTAAATAGTCACAACCCAGTAATTGCCCCTTACTCCTGACCCTAATCTCAGAAGGATCTGCAGATGCATTAAACAGATAGATCAAATAATTTCACATTTAAG